ATCTTGTGAAAAGCTGCTTCCTCTTCTTATTAACCCGCCGTGTCCTAAACACCCACCCATCATCTGGATGTCGCATCTGCAGATGGACATAGTGCCATCACTGTCTCCTCTCAAAATATTAAGCTGCATGACATTGAGTGCGTGTGTGCGTGCGTGTGTGCGTGCGTGCTTGTGTGTGTGTGTGTGAGTGTGTGAACAATTGGTCCCTCTTTATCTATTTTAGGTTGGTGAGAGATAGTAAAAGTCAGTTATTTTATTCTCATGACTTCACTTTAGTTGGGCCTTGAGTTCCTTTGAGATTGTAGAGGAAATAAAAGACCTTCTTACACACACACACACACACACACACACACGCACGCACACAATACACACATGTTCAAACAAATGTATGTAGGCAGTCCCAGAGGCTGGCTTGCCAGAACATGTATCACTAACCCTTCTCTCTTCCCAACCAGCACACTTAATTACCTTTAGGATGTACCAAAGAGATTATTCTGCCAATCATAGCTGATAAAGGTCAAAGCAACCACAGCAGTAACTTCCTGCTCAGGTGCCTAGAGGCTCTAATCAGAAAATAAACTGATGCTGGGAATCAGGTTGCTAACTGATGATTGTAAAGGAATCTCCGTGTCCGCCAGCCCTTCCAGCTGCTGGCAGCCCTGCGGCCAAGGTACTCTCTTGTGAGTTTCTCTCCCTGTGACAGACAGCATTCCTCATTACCCGACTTAACCATCCTTATAAAATTAGGTAGCGCCCTCACTAATCACGCACTGTTTGCAAGAATTCTATCCTTTGGCTTGAGAAATTGTTACAGCTGTTTCTAACCACTTCCTCCTTCCTGGACTTCACTTGCTGAAGTCTCAGTGGCTTCCGATGAGGATGAGCGCGTGTACTGGACTCACACATCACTACCACACATTGCCGGTGACCTCGAGCACAGCAGAGGCTGACCTGCTACTCATCCCTCTCAGTTCCCTCCAGCACAAAATGAGTTTCTCAAATGCTACTCTATGTAGCCCTGGCTGTCCTAGAACTCACTCTGTAGACCAGGCTGGCCCCAAATTCAGAGAGTTCTGGCCTCTGCCTCATGAGGGCTGGGATTAAAGGTGTGCACCACTGCCTGGCATTAATTCTTAAAATAGTTTTAAGTTCTTTTAAAAAATAAGTAAATTGCTCACTTAAGGTCTATATTTGAAGGCCCTGAGAATTTATTGTTGGTGGTGGTAATTTGTTTATGATCTAACAAATAAAGCTTTCTAGAAGATCAGAGGGCAAAGCTAGCCACACTAACTAGCCAGGCAGTGGTGGCACACACCTTTAAGCCCAGCACTGGAGAGATAGAGACAGATAGAGCTCTGTTAGTTCAAGGCCACCCTGAGCTACATGAAATTGATCCAGTCTAAAAGAGAAACAGCTCACACAAAAGTGGCCCCAGCCCTTGGGGCCCCACACTGTTAATCTCAGCACTAGAGAGGAATGTAAGGCAGGAGTTTACATCAGTCTCTGGCAGTCGGGGTTTGGTGGGGAGCATTACAGCCTGCAGTCACTCTGAGGACAGGGCCAGCCCCTCCCCTTTGGTCTGAGCCTTGATAGAGGTGAGAACCCGCTAGTGGCTGGCTGCTTTGTTTGTCTGATCGTTCAGCTTGAACCCCAATCTCTGTCTCTGGGTTTTTGCTATTCATGCTACAATTGTTAGAAGATTTCTTTAAGCATTTTTGTTGGGAAGACTGCTTTCAGTTTAAGAACTCCTATACACTTTTTTTTTTCTTTCTTTAAATGGGGAGCTAGATAGGTAAGTCTTTAAAGAAAAAAGTTATTTAAAACGTAGCCTGGGGGCCTGGAGATGACTGGTGGGAAAATCAGTCGTGTTTGGAGAAATCAGTTGTGGTGCACATATGATGACTAGAACTTGGGTCTTCAAAAGCCACTGAAAGTCAGGTGCACATGGTGGCCCACAAAGGAGGCAATGACATGATCATCAGCACAAGCCAGACAGACAGACAGACTAGCCAAAACACTGAGCCTGGGCTAAGAGTCCCTACCTTAGCTTAAAGGTGAAGAGGGTATGAGAAAGACACCCCTCATCGGTCTCAGGCTTATACATACATGCATCCAGTGATGGTGTTAAGTTTCATTAAACACATCTGAATGTATGTGATGGCTCACTGATGTGTATTTCACATATAACTATACTGACGGTATTAGTCTTGGTTCTGTAGAGTAACCGAACTCATAGAATGAGTCTATCTATATATATGAAAGGAATTGTTAGAATGATTCATAAGCTGCAGTCCAGCTAATCTAACAGTAGCTGGCTGTGGAAAGAAAGTCCAAGAATCCAGTAGCTTCAGTCCATGAGGCTGGATGTTCAGGTAGTCTTCAGTTTACCCTGGGATCCAGAGGAAGTAGGCTCTAATGCCAGGGAAGGAATGGACTTGCTAGCAAGGCAAAGGCAAGCAGGCAGAGTGAGATCTCCCTCCTTTCATGCCCTTCTATTCATGCCCTTCTATAGCCTTCCAGCAGAAGGTGTGGCCCAGATTCGATCCGGATTAAAGGAGTGTCTTCCCTCCTCAAAGATCCAGACTAGGTGGATCTTCCTGCTTCAGATTAAGCAAAAATCCCTCAGAGGTGTACTCTCCACTTTTGGATTTTAGTTCATTCCACATGTAGTCAAGTTGACGACCAAGAATAGCCCTCATATTGACTTATGCTTTACTTGCTCCTCATTAAAAAAAACAAAACAAAACAAAACAAAAGAAAGTTTTAAACTGTTTATCTATTGAAAAACAAAAAACAAAAAACAGAGGTTGCTGGTGCATGCCTTAAATCCCAGCACCCTGGAGACAGAGGCAAATGGGTCTCTGTGAGTTGAAGGCCAGCCTGGTATACAAAGCGAGTTCCAGAATAGTCAGTCGGAGTTGTTACACATAGAAGCCCTGTGTCAAGAAGCCAGAAGAAGGAGTGTCTCGCTAAACTGAAAAGAAACAGATGGAGGGAAAGACTGTTCAATTAATGTAAGAGCTTTACCACAGTTGTTCGATCTGCTCCCTGGTGACCACCACTGTAGTTATTTGAAAAGTCAACTAGACAAGACCAAGAAACATGATTGAACCCATAAGATTCTTCAACAGAACCATTATGGATAACTACACTGTAAATCTTCCTCGTGGAACTTCTCTTAAGTGTGAGCACGTACGGTAAATAGCTCCATTAAAGTTGGTGCATGCATGTGGCAGTCAGAGGACCACACTTAGGGATTCCTCTTTGGAGGCTCCCGGGGGCTGAACTCAGATTGTTGGACTTGCACAGCAGTCTCACCTGCAGCCGGTTCCACCAGTCCTCTCCCTGTCTCTCGTCCTCTGTGTAAAGGAACAACCAACAACCATGGGTCCCTGATTGTCGAGAGGTGATGAGGAAATGCCATGGATAGACAGGAATTGATGCTGGGGATGATTCTAACAATTCTAGTCAGGGACTGGGCGTAGTGGCACACGCCTTTAGTCCCAGCACTCAGGAGGCAGGGGCAGGTAGATCTCTTGAGTTCAAGGCCAGCCTGGTCTACAGAGTGAGTTCCAGGACAGCCGGAGCTCTGTTGTTACACAGAGAAACCCTGTCTCAAACAACAAGACAAACAAACAAAAAACCTGTCGTCAGTAGCTTCACCTGAGATGATACTGAAAATGTGAATGAGGGAACAGGGAACGAGAGACTCCTGCCATGTTAAGTGTGTGACCACCAGGCTGGGGAAATGGCTCAGCCATTAAAGGCACTTGCCACCAAGCCTGAGGACACAGGCTCTATCTCTGTTAGTCACGTGGAGGAAGGAGAGAACTGACCCCTACAAACTGTCCCCGGGCCATCACACATGTGCAATAGCTCCCACATGTCCACACAGATAGACACACATATACATAGTAAGTAAACACATGTAATGATCTTTTTAAGAAAAACACATGACTGCCAATTTTTTTTAATCTATAGGAAAGGGAAGTTAAGCAAAGGAAAGCTTAGTGTTTTAGAGGGAGAAAAGGACAAAAAGGGAAAAAATGAGCCTAATAAGAAGACATATAAAGGGTTAAATCCAAAATCATGCTAACAGGGATTCCAGAAAGTAAAGCAAAATGGAAAGAAGAATGATCCCAAAAAAGTCATGAAAATTCGTAAGAATAAAAAATGTTATTCAAATTAAATAGGTATCCTAAGTGCTGAGCAGAGTTTTGAGGAATATACACTATTACGTAGATACAGATAGATGTAGGTAATTATGAAATTTTAGGATACCAGAAATAGAAGTTAATGAAATCCTCTAAAATGAAGAAAAGGTTTTCTTTTTTCTTTTCCCATTTTTCACTTGTATACTTGTGTGTCTGTGTTTTGTGTCTGTGTGTTTGTATGTTGCAGATGTATGAAATACATGTGCAAACACACATTCACATGTATGTGTGATCATGTAGCAGTCAGAATGAATATTTTAATGCTATTTGACAAATGTGTCCTGGTAAATGCAATGTCTTAATATGAGTGTCATAGTTTGTGTAGTGTGTTTACACTTTGCCCATGAAAGCATTTTTCTAGGTTTTTGATTGACTTAAAATATTATTTTATATGCCTGAGATGTTTACATATGCAATTCCTTCTTTTACCTGTTATGCATCTAAGCCAGGTAGTTTAGAAAGCATATTTTTATTTCATAACTTTTCTAGCTAAGTTCCTAACTTCTCCATAATGTTTCTGTTTCCTCACCGGAATACCAACTTCACAGAGCTCGCATTGGGTTAAATGAGTTGAGCCCACAATAGATGCTAAACAAAAAGACATAGGAAGTGCATGGCTGTGTCCTCTTAGTACATGCTTGTGTTTATTCCACTGAGTTACATGTATTTATGAAGAGCGGCACTATAATTAGATTCATTTCCTGTCAGTCTGGTTAATGAAAATGCTAAGTTCTTTCATTCAGGAGGAATTGCTCCCTCATTTGATAACTGTTGGCTGATTTCTAGTTTGAAAAAGAAAGACAACATGATATTCGATCATTCTTCTCACCAAAACCGAAAAAGAGACAGTTGGAAGCATCCTGTGATGAGTCAGAGGCATTCAAAGAGACGACAGTGGTGGCCTCTGACCCTAGAGCAGTGGCTGCAAGTGATAACAAAAATGGTTTTGGATCTGAGCCTAAAAGATGGAAGTCACTGGGCACCAAGGACCACAGCAGTGCCCTGGAGGGGAGACCATCCTTGCAAGCCAGATCCATGGACGATGTCCATGAGGTCGCATCCCCACTGATCTCCCCAGCCCCTCCCAAGAAGGGGTGGCAGTGTGCCTTCTGCACATTCATCAACAACTCAGTCCTTCCCTACTGCGAGATGTGTGAGAACCCTCAGGGCAGAACTGGTGAGTATTCACGCAGGTGAAGCCAGGTGGAGGGAAGGGGAGGGACGGGGGTCTGAAGACCGTCCCAGTTTCAGACACCATGGTTCCCAAAGTGTCTTGTGACTCAGCAGCCTGCAGCCCTTAAAATGGAGTAACAATCTCACTGAGTGAAGACTATAAATTCATCCCTTCTAGAATGTGAATGACTCCTGGTTCTGTCCAGAACGTATATCCGGAGTGTCACTGTCTTGCCATTAAACTGGCACGAGTGGGCATTTCTGATTAATGTCAGCAGGATGTGAGCTCAGTGGGCAGGAGAAGCCTTGTTGCTATGGTAGCAAGTGTGCTGCCCATCACAGACCTGCTGTTATGAAACAGTAGTCGACATTCTTGTTTTTAAGGAAATTGTAGAGGGTTTCTATATTTAAAGGGAATCATTTGGCTAACTACTGTACTATGTTTTTTTGGATTGACAAGTCATGAGCTCTTCTCAAGGTTTTATTAAAGGGATCTGCCAACACACACACAAATACAAAAACACACCAAAAAAAAAAAAAAATGCCATTAGTATTCTCTCTGTGTTCAGTTTCAGAGAACATTTTTTGCCAATGGAAAAAATGCTAAGTTGACAGTTTTGGAAGCTAGAAAATTGGTTATTTTATCAGTGGCATACATAGTTGTTTGTGTCAATTCTCCAACATATATTCATTCTTCAGACAACCAACCAACTCTAACAAAGACAGAGCCAAAAGAACTCTGACGTTCCCCTTGTCCTTGCTTCTTCGTCTCTCGGTTTTGATCTGAAGGAAAATACATCAGTTGCTAAGTCTTTCCCCTCCCACTTCTGGGAATGCTATCAAAACTGACAAGTGGCCATCTGGGTAATGGTATTTGTTATGCGGGCACCTGTTCTCTGAAACTAAACGAGAACCACAGGCTTTCTCCATGCAGTGACCCTTGCCACAGTTAACGTGACCCCCTGTAATCCCTGACAGTTGCAGCAATCAAAATACAGCAACGGGTGACTACGAAATAATGTCAGCCCACAGTAAGACTAGCTTGGGGGGGGGGACCTAAATTAAAATAAATAACTTTTTTAAATCATAGCTTATCACGTGTTTGATAGTTCTGATTTTTCCCTTATGATGCCAAGAACAACAATGAAAGCTTCTAAATGCTATGATTCAATAAGCATTCTGCCAAGTAACTTTAAAAAATAAACACATTTGTGAGCATGAAATAATCCACTTAGAGAAAAAATAAGAATTGTAAGTAACAGGGTCATCTCAGCATTACAGTGGTCAGCTTATATTATTAGAGTTGGCATAGTGATCGCCTACCTTGGTTTGTTTGTGCCCCAACATATTAAAAGGCAGAATTATTAATAATTAAGCAGAAGAATTCAAAAAAATTAAATGAGCCATATTAGGATGTTGCAGCCTACAAAGGCTGTTGATTCAGACCTGTGGTACTTTGAAGTGAATATGGCATAGGGTACATTGGATGATAATATCTGCCCAATTTTGTATCTCTGACTTGAATGCCAAAGCGCTTATGTCCAAATTGGCTAGACACCACTCTAGTGAAGCCTCAAGCTTGACAGGCCTAGGCTAGAATCCTGAGGGCTGTAGACATCCTACTCACTCAGCCTCTTGCTGCATAAGCGTTAAGACCCAGGTTTGAATCTCAGCCCCCACAGAGAAAGCCAGGAACAGCATACATCCACACCCTGGGAATGTCCAAACAGGCAGATTTCTAGACCTTACCAGCTGGCTAGCCAGCAAAGCCAAATTAGTGAGCTCCGGGTTCATGAGAGACCAAAGTATGGTGGGAAATGATTGAAGAAGGCACCAGATGTCAACCTTCAGTGTGGCGTGTGTGTGTGTGTGTGTGTGTGTGTGTGTGTGTGTTGGTTGCAGAAATAAAAATGTTCAGCACTGGGCTGGAGAGATGGCTCAGCAGGAGAGAGCCTGGGCTGCCGCCCAGAGTATCTGACAGGTTCTCCCAGCCTCCATGGACCCCGTATACATTTAGTGCACAGGCATACATGCAGGCAAAAATGCCCATCTGCATAAAATGAAAATAAATAATTAAAATCCTCAGTCATATCCTTGATGTCTTTCTCCCCTCCATTGTTAAACTCCAAAATATATCCCGACTCCGACCCTTGTCGCTGGCATGAAAGAAAGCATCGTCAGCTCTTACCCAGGCCCAGCAGCATCTTCTACTCCAGTATTGATTGCCCTCAGGATTTTTTCCATGCAAAACAGTCAGAATCACCCTTTAATAATGGGCATAGCAGCACACACATTTAATCATAGCACTTTGGAGGCAGAGGTAGATGGGTCTCTGTGAGTTCCAGGCCAGCCAAGGCTACACAATGGGACCTTGGGAAAAATACCCACCACCAGCATCAAAACTGCAATCATCATTACTCCTCTGTCAAAAGGTCTCCGTTGCTCTCCGGATGGTGTAGATTGTACCCAACAGTGTAAGCCCTTAGCTGGGCTCAGCAGCAGCTCCAAACTTGAGTGGGACTCTCTGAGAGCCTGGCCCCGACAACCTGTTCTATGTGCAATAGTCTACTATTGCTCCGTTAAGGTTCTGATCTCCACATTCAGTTAGCTGCCCTCCCCGTCTCCAATTCTCTTACACAAGCTCAGGTTGGCCCTCTTCGTTTATAGATAACATTCTTTGTTTGCTTGTTTACACTTTTGTGTATCTATGAATCTTAGAAATAGTCCTTCCTGATAAATGTTTTATAAGTCCCCCTGCCTGTGCCCCCCCCCAAGTGCTGGGATCAAAAGTATGTGCCACCAAGCCCAGCTATTTCTTCCTTTTTTTTTTTTTAATAATAAAATTGAGGTGTGGCATTTCAATCTATGCTTATTCCATGTAACTCACTTTATTTTCATAACTCTAGCTGGCCCCAGCCACACGCAGGAGGACAACAAAAACGAGTCAGTTGGTTCTCAGGAAAACACCTCCAAAAATGGCCAGGCTAGTCTGGCCTGTGTAAAACCACTCCCTGAGCAGCCAGCACCTGAGCAGCTGCCTAATAGCAAGGAAGAAACATTGAAAAATGAGAAAGAAGACAGACTGACGTCCCAGGCGGGGAATGGTAAGTACTGCTTCCCTTTCTAGCTTCAGATAGTAACTGTGTGAGGGCTAAGGGTGTGGCTCAGTTGGGAGAGCCCTTAGCTACTATGCCTGAGTCTATGGCTTCAGTCCCCAGTACTGCATAAACCAATTGTGGTGACAGTTTGTACTCCCAGCACTCGGGAGGAGGAAGAGACAGGAATGTTGTGAATTCAAAGTCATCCCGGGTTACGGAGTGAGTCTGAGGCTAGCCTGAGTTATATGAGACCCTGTGTCAAAAGTAACCAACTAAATAAATAAGTACCATATACTTATGCTGTGACTAGATTTGTGATACCTTGTCCCAAGTACCTTTTATTCCCATTTATGTTCCAAACAGCCACCTCTCTCAGAAACATCTTTAAGTACTAGATGGCTCTCTGCTGGCATCAACACTATATAGTGTCACAAGCAAATAAATTGCCACTGCCACCAGAATGTCGTCCTGTCCAGCCACAGTGAACTCACTGTCAGGGAGAGAGCTGTTTGTCTTCGTATGGACATCAGGCCACAGCAATGACACTGACAGAGAAACAACAGCTCTTCAGCAAATCATTAATCTTTGTCACAATGAATGCTTTTAGATGGCTAAAATCAGTGTGCATTTTTTTTTTAAAGAAACAATTTTAAGGAACATGATTTCAAGGCTGTCTGAAACAAGCTAGAGAGATGCGTCAGTGGGTAAAGTGCCTGCCCTGCAAGCATGGGACCCTGAGTTTGGTGCCCACCAACCACATGCAAAGCTAGGTGTGACGTGCACACCTGTAAGCCCAGCATTCTGGTGCAAATACACCCGTTCTACACAGGCACGAAGACCAAATGAACCAGGACTGCACTTGGAGTCCTTGCTGTTGAGGTTTTATTTATTTGTTGCTTGGTCTGTTCACGTTACTTACAGCTGTGATGGTCAGTAAATGCCAGCTTGCAGTTGTACATACCATCTCTTATGGGCCAGCTGGCTGAATACTGTAATTTGGGATTCTTTTCTTTTTTGACTTGCTTAGTGACCATAGTGAAATTGGTGGTGGGGGGTTTGTTTGTTTGTTTGTTTGTTTTTTGTTGTTGTTGTTTTTTTGTTGGTGGGTTTTTTTGTTTGTTTTTTTTTTTTTGTTTTTTTTTTTTTTTTTTGATACAGGGTTTCTCTGTATGGCTCTGGAGGCTGTCCTGGAACTCGGCTCTGGAGGCTGTAGACCAGGCTGGTCTTTGAACTCACAGAGATGTGCCTGCCTCTGCCTCCCAAGTGCTGGGATTAAAGGTGTGTGCCAGCCACCAACGCCCGGCTGGTGTATATCTTAAAACCATTCTAAATTGTTAGATAAGGCTCCTGAAAACTTTCAGAGTTAGCTGTTGGTAACACCCATCATTTGGAGTGAGAGTTATAGCTTCAAAATGAAATGTTCATTTAAGAATTGCTGAACCTACCTGGGTGATGGTGGAGGCAATGCTGTGCGCCTTTAATCTCAGTCCTCAGCAGGCAGAGGCAGATCTCTGAGCTTGAGGCCAGCCTGGTCTACAGAGCTCGTTCCAGGACAGCAGTCAGGGAAGCCTAGCCTTGAGAGAGAGAGAGAGAGAGAGAGAGAGAGAGAGAGAGAGAGAGAGAGAGAGAGAGAGAGAACCTCGGGTGTCCTTGTTTCTTCCTTTTTCTCCTCAGCCTTCCTTTTCCTTCCCTCAGTTTCTCCAAAAGTGTGTTAGAGTAAGCACTGTCTGGATCTGACTTTATAGCTTTTACATACGCAGGGTACAGTTGGGGCTCATCCTCTCGTGTGTCCCTAGTTTCTTTGTTCCTGCCAGAAGACCAAACCCAAGTGCTGAAGGCGCCTAGGGCCTGGGATGGCACACACCCGGGGAACTAATCTGGGCATTGTCATTGGACAGTTCCTCCTGGCTAGGGCCAGGGTTGGTAGCTATGCACTCTGGTGCAGACATCGGCTAGCTTACTGTTACAAAGAACAAGGGAGTAGCTCGTTTGATACAGGGCATTCCTAGCATGTACAAAGCCCCAGGCTCAATAAATATTAACATATGCCAGCCGTGGTAGTACATACTAGAGACCAGAATATCAGAAGTTCGAGGTTGTCCTCAGCTACATAGTGAATTCAAGGTCACCCTAGGCTACAGGAGATCCAGGCCCAAAACCAAAGCCGGGGCCAGCAAGTGGGTTAAAGCACTTGCCACCAAGCCTGACCACAGAGTTTGATCCCAGGACCCACATAGTAGAAGGTCCTCTGACCTACACACACACACACACACACACACACACACACACACACACCACATACCACACATACGCTTTAACAAGTAAATAAGTAGTTTTTAAAAAGTCACTAGCTTTCAGAAAGTCCACTCAGCCTGAAGATCTGTGTCACCCTTGTCCACTACAGACACACTAGCATCTCCCTGTACCTGTCCCTCCTTCCTTCTTTCTGACTTCGGCGCAGGTCAGCCTCAATAATCTCAGTGAGAGACACATGTCATATCTTTCCAGTAAACATGGATTTCCATGAGAAACCAGCAGGAAGAAGGTGTTTTTCTTTTCTATTTGGTCCCTCTTTTAGAGCCAGAGTGATACATGTTACGGTAGAGCTGCGGTTTTATTCTAACTAGAAACATACAAGTCTGGAAGGATAGCTGTGTCCTCAACAGATCCATCCGCAGTGTGACTATCAAAGTACCCTTCTTGGGTGTGTTCCCATAATGCAGCTCTCGGCTCCCACAAGTGTCAGCTACTTTGACATTGACCCAATTGGCATTTTGTCAGAGAATGACTTCTAATCTTTACACATTATTACATAGTTCTCCCAGTATGAAAACACGCTGATTACAAATGTTCTTCTGACCAAGGTCGGCAGAAAGAACCTTGTTAAACCAAGGCACACACTTGCCACCTGCAGCTGTGCCTTTTGTTTGTCCAGAGTCTGGACCAGCAGTACCTTGTGCCTTCAGCTGCTTTGTTTGCTATTTAGTAGGTGAGTCTTTGCGCATGCGTGTGAACAAAACGGGAGTCAGCTCCCTGAGAGATTTTAGTCATTTTTCCAGGATTTATTCCTGTGTGTGTGTGTGTGTGTGTGTGTGTGTGTGTGTGTGTGTGTGTGTGTGTAGTTGATTCTCTCCTCCATCTTTATGAAGGTTCCCGGGATTGAACTCAGGTCACTAGATTTGCATATTGAGTGCCTTTACCCACTGAGTCATCTCACCAGCCCCATGCTGAAAAGCTTCTAGGAGTCTAGAACTAAATCCATACATATATGTCATACATGTATGTCATATATGGATCTGAGGGGCAGTAGTATTGTAGCCATGAGCTCACTCAAACGGGCTCACACAGCAACTTCTTAACAGCTGCCACCTAGGCAATAATAATTGCAACATGCCTTTGTCATCGTTGACTATTAGCTACCAATTTCTGAGAATCATTAACACTCACTCATTTTGTGAGCGAGTGGCTTTTCACGATGACAGTTCTATATATGCATATTGTACCTTAACCACGTTTGCCCTCCCCTCTCCCTTCCCACTATCATGTCCCTCCCTGTCATTCTCTAGTTCTTGGAGTTTGTTGTTTCTTTTCATTGATAGGAATAGTCCACAAACTAGACTTGTAACGTAGCCAGTGCCTAGACTAGGAAACTATAGTGTGATGATGGTATTGCCTAGTGGGACAGCAAAGTGAAGCTGAGCTTCTAGATCTGGGAAAGAATGTTCGAAGGTCAGTGACAAAGCACAGCTGAACTAAACGTATAAGCTCTGCAACTGGAGAGACAGCCAGTGGCCAAGAGCGATCTGACTTTGGATTCCCAGGACCCAAACCAAGGGCATCACAACCACTTTAACTCTAGTTTGGGATCTGATGCCCTCTTCTGGCCCCCACTGGCATTGCATGCACACAGTGCACATCAACTCGCCCAGATGTACACATCGCATAAATAAAAAATAGTAAGTGCATTTTAAGAGTGCAACTCTAGAGCCCATTTTATGGCTGAGATCCTGTTAAAATGTGCTTTTCATATGAGAGATGCAGTGAGGATCGTAGTTAGTGTAATTCCTGGGCCACTGATTTGTTTAGTGGGCATTAACTGCACTCACTTTAGTTGTATTAGGGGTCCATCCCAGGGTCTTTCGGCATGCTAGACAAACAGTCTACAGCCTCAGCCCCTTTGACTCTAATTATTATGTAGACTTGCCTCCACTAGTTTTGTCTCTTCTGGAGAATTCTGGGTAATGGGACCCAGGAAATGCTTTTAAGTGCCGAGGAGGAACTAAGCATGTCTAGTCATCTCCGTGTGGATGAGACAGGGAACCAGGCACATCAGTGGTACTCCGCAGGGCTGTCCTGATGCTCATCATCAAATGGGGGCTATTTCGTTCCAGCTGCAGGATGCTTAGCAAAGGGGAGACATTCTAAGCCCCTTCAAGTCTGGTGATGGTTTCTGGTGTCAGGGAAGGGTCCCTTCTGACAAACTCACATCTCTCCAAAGATTCTAAATCGGTTGCTACTTGTTCAGTCATTAGCAAAAGGCTGCCCAGGTTCCAAATATGCTGATGCTTTTTAAGACCTGCCTTGAGAATTTTATTTCAAACCTAGACAGACAAGCTTATCATACATCACTATTTCATCATTATAACCTGTACAACAGAGAAATACGCTATTTCTTGAATATCTATTTTATTTTATTTATGTGTCTGAGCCCGTGTGTGTGGATACCCAGAGAGGAGGGCATTACAGCCGCTCAAGCGGGAGTTACAGGGAGTTATGAGCCACGCCAGTGGGGGTTGGGCATCAAACTGCAGTCTCTGAAAGGTCAGCAAATGTTCCTAGCTGCTGAGCCATCCATGTCTCCAGATCCAAATCTGCCGCTTTAGACAGAGGGTAGGCCGGCCTTTCAGATCCTCTTTTGTCTTCTTCCTTAGAGCAGTTGAACAATTCAGGCACCCTTCCTGTGTGGGAGACCTTCATGTTTTGTGCAAGTAGGAACACAGACCGGATCCACCTCTACACCAAGGTGAGTGTCACACGCACCCTGTATCTCAGAATATAAAGACAGACTTTCCTGTGCCACCTTTCAATGAAGATCTTTAACAGTGAGACAGGCGCCCTGTTTTTTCCCTCCACATAGCTCATCATCAAATTCCTGTGTAAAATCTAAAGACAATGAGAGACAAAAGCAGAATATTTAGACTTCAGGGAAGGAGACCTCGATGTCAGTGTTATTGCTTATCTTGGACACGTCCAGCTGTGTGTTCTGCTTCAATTGCCTCAGCTATAAAATGTAAGGAGGGCCGGGGGATTGTGGCACATACCTCTAGTCCCAGCACTCAGGAGGCAGAGGCAGGCAGATCTCTGTGAGTTCGAGACCAGCCTGGTCTATAAGAGCTAGTTTCAGGACAGCCTCTAAAACCACAGAGAAATGCTGTCTCAAAAAAACAAACAAACAAACAAACAAATAAATAAAATGTAAGGAGGGTTTGTTGCAAGGATAGAATAAGCTCATTCCTGTAGATCTCTTAGCATTTTTAGCAATGTTTTTGTAGCTGCCTAACACCGGACCCCTTTCTTCAACTGCCTCACCCCCACCCCACCCTCCATGCTGGATGTCAGACAGAAGGCTTCCTCTGCTGGCAAAGGTCACACATTTTAGTCTGAGGAGCCCTTTTTATGACAAAATCGTATTGAAGCCACACAGAGCTCTTGTTGATTATGGGTTATACCTATTGATACCCAATCCATTCTGTAGTAAAATGAAGACACTTAAAATATTCGCGTATTCCTAATCAGTTTAAAAATAACTGGTATTTGTACAAATAACAAGTGCTTTTTGTTTGGCTTTGTTTTTTGTTTTTTTTTTTTGTTTTGTTTTGTTTGTTTTGTTTTGGGAGTGTGGGGGTGGTCAAGACAGGGTTTCTCGGTAGCCCTGGCTGTCCTGGAACTCACACTGTAGACCGTGCTGGCCTCAAACTCAGAGATCCACCTGCAAGACTGTTAAGGAGAACTCAGTCATTGGGGAGTAAGAGCTTGACAGACAGATAATACCCCAACTTGTGATTCCGTAGCCCTCTGAGAAGAGCTTGGCAGCTATGTGAGAATCATTAGCCTAACTACGCTGATATGAGTATGGAGAAGTTGGCAGAGATTTTAAATACCTGTTTATTCAGTTTTGAATTTCTAATAGAAACTGTGTTTGCAATTTTATAAATACATGGTCCATTCTATTGAAAGGATACTTTTTGTCTCTTTCACTATTGTATTTCTTTAGTGTAGGAGACTTTCTTGTGTCGCATGTGTGTGGAGATCAGAAAACAACTTCAGGACTCCATTCTCTCCTCCTATCACATGGGTTCAGGGAATTGATCTTAGTTCACGCACTTGGCATCAAACACCTTTCCCCATGTAACCATCTTGCTAGCTTGAAAGAATGGTTTTTAAGATATGACTTAAGGAGCTGAGAATGTTGGTTAATAGAACAGTGTTTGCTGGGCATGTACAAGGCCCTGAGTTCACTATCGAGCACTGAAAAAGCAAAGAAAGAGCCAGGCAGTGGTGGTGCACGCCTTTAATCACAGCACTCAGGAGGCAGGGGCAGGTGGATCTCTGTGAGTTCGAGGCCAGCCTGGTCTACAAGTGTGTCCCAGGACAACCAGGGCTGTTACACAGAGAAACCCTGTCTCAAAAAATCAGGAAGGAAGGAAGGAAGGAAGGAAGGAAGGAAGGAAGGAAGGAAGGAAGGACGGAAGGAAGGACGGAAGGAAGGGACCAAACTGCCTTCAACTGTGTTTTCTTTTTTTAAAAGATTGATTGGTTGATAGATTGATTGATTATGCATACAGTGTTCTGCCTGCATTTATGCCTGTATGCCAGAAGGGGCACCAGATCTTATGTGGGTGCTGGGAACTGAACTCGGGACCTCTGAAGAGCAGCCAGTGCTCTTAACTTCTGAGCCATCTCTCCAGCCCCCAATTGTGTTTTCTGCTAAAGCAGATTTGCTATATGTGTGTGCTGTGCCATCACGTTCAGTCAGAAGGAAATGATTGCAGGCACCAAATCACTGCACAGCATCCACTGTGGGACCACAATGAGACTGAGTCACCAGAGACCAAGCAAGGCGGTACTTGTCCCCCCCGTGGTCCTGAATCCCAGCCCAGACTGGGGAGCTTCTGCACGAGGGGAGGCAGACTGGGGAGCACGCAGGACTTGCCCACGCCCCTCCAAGCAGTCTTTAGTACACGTGCCCACCTCCTGATGGAGCTCCAGGCTGTGCCCTTCTCACCGTCGCATGGAAGGAGCAGAACGATGACCCCACATGGATAGATAAAGATTAGGAGCCAAGAGACTGCCCAGTCAGAACAGAGCATGGCTTCAGAAGCCCCTTGGGTCTGCAAACACTGTATTGTATGGGCAGTGGCCTTCCTCCTTGGGGTGGAGATGGAGGAAACAATCTATACTTAGATATTCCTGATAAAAGGTGGAGTACCCAAGCAGCCTCCTGGTCTCCGCCTGGGCTTCCTGCCCTTAACATTTCTGTCCACAGACTCACAGACATTTTTATGGCTGTTCCAAATACTTTCATATCCCATTACCATAAAAATAGCATCATTCAGCTACTGTCATTTCCTAAACAGGAGATGTAGACGGATGAAATGTCGACTTCTTTTCTCAGCTATGACTGGGTGGGGAGGAAAGTTTACCGTTTTACCCTAGAAGGGCCCAAGGAACCCCTCTACAAGCAGAAGTTTGTAAAATCCTTAGTTCACTGCCTACGCATGTAACCCATGGGGAGTCAGCAACAGAACTTTAGCACCCTATGTCAGGAAGAACTGATTATTGCTGGGAGAATCCCAAGTCCAGGATCTGGAATTGTATCTCCAAATTTAGAATTATGTGATTACATACACAGGTAAATATCACGTCATAAATGCCGGCATCGTTTTCTTCTTCCAAAACAATTGTGGGCTGCTGGCATTTGTTTTGACTAAGAGATTTGAATATGAGGAACTGTTGTTGATGTAGTGAATTTTCACGTGGCAGTCATCCCCTCCTTTAAAAAGGACCGAGTTCCAGGACAGGCTCCAAAGCAACACAGAGAAACCCTGTCTCGAAAAACCGAAAAATAAATAAAAAGACGACATCCGCTCGGGCTTGAGAGGTGGCCCTCCTCGATGCAGTTCTAGCTTCCTCTGCAGATAGGAGCGTGGACAGCTGGTCTTCATGGAGCAGCAATGTAACATGGCTTTGGAGAAGCAGATTTTTAAATAAGTCTCTAGAATTTCTCTGTCTCCCTTCCCCTCCTGACAGTGACAATGGGCAGCTGTGTCAGCCCACCCGGGGAGGGACAGTCAGATGTTTATGAATGCTGTCATTTGCTAGGAGACAGCTCTTTAATACTCTAAAGATCACTTGGGGATTTGCAGGTGCTTGTGTTACTGTCGAGGATGTGCTTCTCTTCTGTGTTAGTTTACAGTTTTTTATCATCCCTGTGTATTCCTCCAAGGTTAGGCAGGGGAGAATTATGTCGGGGCAGTGAGTACAGCATCCAGGCTGACTGCAGGATGCTTGGGCCGTGTCCAGGTAGAGTGCCGCACCCTGTCTCACCTCAGCTCTGCAGGGGACTCATGTGGGGTACACCCTCGTCTCAAATGTGCCTCCTGGTGTGCTTTTTAGGAGACTAGCCATGCTGCATTAGAATTAAACTTTAAGTAGTTACTGGTACCTGTGGACTAAAGTGCACTAACAAGGTCTCCTCATCTGTTATCAGGATGGAAAGCCGATGAGCTGTAATTTCATTCCTTTGGATATAAAACTAGACCTTTGGGAGGACTTACCAGCAAGCTTTCAACTAAAACAGAATCGCTCACTGGTAAGAAGAGTGCTAAATAATACAGTTGCATTTATTTGAAATGAAATTATTTTAGTAATTTTAGAGGTCACTTTTAGTTTAATGAAACAAACCTTATGACTGTCGCAGAGTCAGATTGCAGGCTGCATTTTTATCCATCCAGTCAGTGTCTATTAATTGCACCAGTGCTAAGAATAAATGTGGCATCTGCTTGCTTGGTGAGTGATCACACCTGCCATGGCTGTGAAGGCAGACATATTTCATCTCATCCGTCGGATTAGCAGCGGTGATACATCTGTCGGAATCACACTTCGTCTTCTGAGGTTAAATTCTGACAATGGCACATTCCAAAGAGCCAGGATGATACCACACTGTGACTCTGGATTCACTGCCAGACGGCCCCGAGTGCTGCAGCTGCAGCTGCAGGCCAGGCAGCTGCCTGGGAGATCCTAACCTCCTCGTGTGTGCCGTCATTTATATCTGCAAGGAAGAGCCGGGGTTTGGTTTGCTTGGTTTTGCTTTTACTGTCCTGTTCGTGGAAATGAAATAGTGCCTGGAGGTCAAGCTGCAGCCTCTGATAGCATGAGGTAGCGGTGAGCTATAGCGGTGAGCTATTTCCTTTGGCATCAGTTAATACTGATGCTCAGATTCGGAGAGATGATAGACAGATTGGGTAGATGCATATATAGATACATAGATATGTGATTGATGGAGATAGGTAGATGATAGGTAAGTAGGTAGACAGACAGACAGACAGACTGATAGGTAATAAAACCAAAGCCAGTGAACCGGTTACCCATGATTGATTAATAAAGAACAATTGTGACAAGTCTCAGTTTATCGCTGGCTTTTGTCCTGTGCTGTCTGAGGCATGTACTACAGGGTGATGGTGGGGAGTTGCTCCATCCTCTGTGGCCCCTGCAGCATCTGCTCCCCTGCAGTCAGCTTTCCCCCGGGCTGCTGCAGGGGTCCGTACTTGTGCCCTGTGAGCGCATGCTCACTGTTGGAGCCTGTGTGATCAGGGCATGTGCTGGACTGTTGAAGTGCCTCTAGAGACTCTGGATCGAAGGGCATAGGCAATCCATACCATGGAAGTCGTGTGTCCAGTTGAGGAGACAAACTATAGGACTCAAGCTGTTTGAGGGTGCTGTAAGACATCGGTTTTCTGAGGTTGTGAATACCGTGACTTTCAAAGGGGAACTGTGAACTCTTCCTCGTTTCTCCTGCCAGATTTTGAGGTTTGTCCGAGAGTGGACTAGTCTGACTGCCATGAAGCAGAAGGTGATCAGGAAAAGTGGGCGGCTGTTCCACAGCCCACTCCTGGCCTTGGAAGAGATCACAAAACAACAGGCCAGAGAGAACAGTGCTAAGAGGTAGGAGTGGCCTTTCCTCCCGTCTTGTTTCCCATGGCTCTTTCTATTGGCTGATTGCATTCCAATCCCCGTCTGAGATGTTGTAAGCATCCGAGGCGCCTTGTGGACCACTGATGACATTTTAGTAAGTTGAGGAAACTATGCCGCAGATAGTGTGTTGACCTGCCTCTACAAGCCCTGGGCTCCTTTGTAGCACTGAATAAACCAGCTGTGGGCACACACTTCTAATTCCATCCCTTAAGGGGGGGGGGCATGAAGATCAGGAACTCAAGGTCATTCCCAGCTATATGAGGAGTTCAAAGACAGTCTGGGCAACATGAGACCTTACTGGGAGGGACGGAGGAAGGGAGGGAGGAAAAAAGGAATTATACTTAGTAATAGTTACATCATTTCATAGCAGCGATTTCAGTGAGGTCTGCTGGAAGACATCACGTTGTACTTTGCTTATAGGGAACCCTACTCAGAGACAGGGGTTGTGGCACCTGCGAGCTACTGAGCCTGGGCAGTTACTGCAGAGAGACTCAGGGCATGTACTGGGTCTCCACCTGCCATGCAGCAGGGGCTGGTCCTATTGTAACATGCCACCGTGTTTCTAGAAGTGGAAAATAATGGTCAGGTCCGTGGTTGGAAAGTAAAGGTTAACTGTGACACATTTTTAGTATCATCTGCCATCATCACCAAAAGTCCATTTCTAATCCCATATGTGACATCGTAAGCATCTGTGACTCCCTTCAGTGGCTTTCTCTGTGGTCACAGACCCTGGTTCTCTCGGCACGGAACAAAGAGGTGCCAGGAGAAGTTGCCAGCTGCTCTGTAGTAAAGTTCTCTGTATGAAGGAAATCCCAGAGTGACAAACCTAACACACCTTCCTCTGTAAGTCTTTATTGCATTAATAAGTAAGGGACTGGCGAGATAGCTCAGTGGTTATGTGACCTTGCGGCTCTTGCAGAGGACCTGGGTTTGGTTCCCAGCACACGCATCACGGCTTACAGTCATCTGTGATCCAGTTCAAGGGGATCTAAGTCCTCCCTCCTCTGGCCTCCACAGGCACCATGTCCCCTTAAGGGTCGCAGTGGAGGCGTTTTAGATGACCACAACTACAGAACACACCTAGGGACCTCCTTGTTTAAGGAATCGACCCTGGGATCGGAAGGGGATGTTGCCAGGGTTCATCTAGACACCTTGGTGACTGATCAGAGGGAGGAAGAGAAAGGGACATCCTGTGCTGGCCGTCACTGAGTGGCTGTGGCAGGAGGAAGGGTGTGTCTACAGAGCAGGTGCCGGAGCCCGGGCTGAGAGGCAGAGCCCCCCCCCCAGAGGCAGCGCTAGACCCCTAGTCTCTCCCCCTTCTCATCCTACCTGATTACTTTTTAGAGAAATTTAACGCAGGAACCTCTTAGATGAAGAGAGATGCATCACACTTCCCTTCCTAGGCATGCGCAGGGAGGATTCATGTCTTTAAATTATTAGATGTCAGGCTGGAGACATGGCTCAGTATGTACATCACCTGTATGAAGACCAAAGTTCATACCCCAGCACCCAGATATAAGCTGAGTTGATGCAGCCATCAGCTCAGGACACAGAGACAGGGGTCCTTTGGGCAAGCTGACTAGCTAGACCGGCCAAATTAGAGAGCCCCATCTCAGCAAGAGACCCTGTTTTGGTAATGTGGGATGTGATCCAGCAGCAAGACACCTGACAACTACCCTCGGCCTCCATATATGCACCCAAATGTATTCACACTTTCATACACACACACACACACACACACACACACACACACACACACACACACACACACTGAACGTCTCAAGAAGAGCAACAACAAAAAAGACAAAAGCACTAAATTTTGGTATTCCTGAAAAAAATGATTAGATGTCCCACAAGATTACAGCTACAGCAAAGAGCCCCAGCAGTTAGTTGTAGGCCTTATTCAAGCTGAGGTATCGAAGCCAGCTTCCAGATGACTCAGTCACAATGACTGGAAATGACCAAGACCGACAACCATGGCATTGTTCCTGAATGAGTTCCATTTCTCAAAGACTGGGCCTGACTTAGTGGCAGTCCTGTTATGTTTGACCCTCCTACTAGCAGGCCAGCACCCTAGAGCCCAGGGATATATCCATCAATCCATCACTATGAGCCACTTCCCAAGGCACACACTTCTTTTAAAAATGCCTATCCTGGGGGCTAGAGCGATGGCTCAGAGGTCAAGAGCATTGGCTGTTCTTCCAAAAGCCACATGGTGGCTCACAACAATCTCTAGTGAGCTCTAATGCCCTCTTCTGGTGTGCAGGCATACAGGCAGATAGAACACTCAGGAAAAAAAAAAAAAAAAATCTTTAGAAATTTTTTAGATGTCTATCCTCTACTGGAATCTTATTCAGACACTGGTTTTTGTAGGTACCAGTGTTCTGTGTTTGCGAAAATTGAGATTTACCATACTCCTTTTGGGAGCTGGCATACTTACTTCCATGAATGTCTGCAGGCCACAATGAAAAATGGAATATTGGTAACTTGACACTAAGTCTTAAAAGGTGTCACTTCCCTTCTTTGCCCTCAATGTCTTTCTTACAGTTTCCAAAAACTTAATGTTTAACCTTTTTATATGAAAGCAAGTGGTCATGTTCAGTATTTAATTCTGCCTAGATGGCCCAGAAACTCCAGGGCTCTCCTGTCTGCCTCCCATCACACCATAGGACCACTGGGGTCCAGATGCCTGCTACCCTGTTAGTCTTGGCGTTGTTTTGCTAGTGAAAACATGAGGAGATGAGCGCTCCCCACTGGTAGAGCCCTGTACTGCCACACTGCAGCAGAGAACAGCCTGTCAGGACTTACCCACACATACAGCAGCCGAGACTGTCGTTGGCTTTTGTTTTCTCTCACCGTATTCACTGTGTTCTCTGGCTGTCCCAGAACTCACTACGTAGACCAGGCTGGCCTTGAACTCACAGAGATCCACCTGCCTCTGTCTCCTAAGTGCTGGGATTAAAGGTGTATGGCACTAAGTGCAGCTCAAAGCAGCCAAGACTTTTAACCTAGAGTTAAAAGTTCTAGTTCTGGGGATTTAGTATATATGTGTGTTTGTGTTTCGTGTGTGTGTGTGTGTGTGTGTGTGTGTGTGTGTGTGTGTGTAGGGAATATCCTCAATTGCCTTTCTATCTTTTTCACTGAGGCATGTCTCTCAAACCCATAGCTTACTTATATGGTTTCTGAGGCAGAGTTCAGTGGGCTGCCACGCCTATCGCATACACGTGGGTTCTTGGGCATCCAAACCCTGGTTCTCACATTTGCTCATCGAGCACTTTAAGCCCTGGATCATGACCCTAATTCCTATATATACAGTTCATGTGTTAAAAATACAGTGGAGGGCTGGAGAGATTGTTCAGGGGTTAGGAGCACTGGCTGCTCTTCTAGAAGACCCAGGTTCAGTTCCCAGCACCCACAGGGCAGCTCAAGACAGACTGTAACTCCAGCTCCAGGAGATCAGATGCCACCTCTGCTTCCCTAACGCACTAGGCACACAAGTGGTACACAGACATGTGTGCAGACAAACAGCTACACGCACAAACCAAAATATCTTTAGAGACCCGTGTCTTCTTTAGACTCTAGAGCATTTTTTAAATGTGGTGGGTATAAATGTTGCCTCACAGCCCACTAATCAGAAACTGGGTTCATAGGTCATTACATGGTTTATCCTCCACATTATGGAGTGCATGGAACAATTAAAATGAATAGAGAGGGCTGGGCAGATGGTTCCGGTGAGTAAAGAGAACTTGCTGTGTGGGCACGAAGGCCAGTATTCAAATCCCCATCACCCACGTTAAAAAATAAAAATCTGGGCATGAAGAAATTTGTATTTAAATTTATGTGGAATTTAAAATATCTACAGTAAGGGTAAACTAGCTTAGAAACTGGGTCATGCTAATTAGAAAAAAAATAATTGGATAATTTGCATTTCACCTACTTAATTCCCCCTTCACCTTTAAATGAATTATTTTCTTTTTTACTTCTAGCATCTACACCAGGTGTGTTACTGATAGTTCGCTAGAGGGTCTGGTTCCCGCACCAAAAGAGCAAGTTAAGGGGCTGCTATTTTGGGCCGAAACCCTGAGCTTATAGGAGATCCAGTTGAACTCAGTTAACTAAAAGACTCGTTCACACAAAAGCTGTGCAGGGTTGAGGCTGAAGAGGTGATTTGCTGAGGCCTCAGAGAGATTCAGAAGACGAGGGACTCACTTGGGAAGTTTCCTGCAGCTTGAGAGGCAGTTCCCTTTAGACTGTCAGTCATGCGTGTATTTGATCATTATGCCCACATCCTCTCTTTCCTTTCTTCCAACTTTGAAAATGTCGGTGTTCTAGTTCTCTCGCTATAAGGAAATACTCAGCAGGAGTAACTTGGACAGGAAAGGATTTGATCGGCTTCTACTTCAGGTCACACTCCATCATCGATGAGGGAAGTTGGGCTGGGAACTCCTAAGAGGGAGGAACCATGAGGTTTGCTGCCTGCTGGTTATCCGTCTGGCTCGCTCTGTTTGTGTTCTTGCTAGCTTTCTTACACAAAGTGGGGCCATCTATCTGCCAGGAAATGGTGCCACCCACAGTGGCTGGTACCTCCTACGCTAGTGAACTATCGACGTTTGCCCACAGACGTGCCCACAGGCTAAGCAGATCCCAGCAATGCCTCAACTAGGCAGTGTTTAGTTAACAATTAAAAATCATGAATGACTCTCGAGTTCCTTGGAGGAGTGAATGTCGTGACAACTGATTGGGAGCAAAGTTATATGCGTTTCCCACATAACAAGTAGCAGCCAGAAGGACACACATGTTTCCAAACGTCATGGTCAGCATAGGAAACATAATTGGACCTTGCTTTTGCCAGGAGCACTGTGAACCTAAGTTACAGATACTGCTTGAGAAAACAGTGCAGAACACTTGACTAGCACGCATGAGGTAGGTTCCAGAGTTGGTACCGGGTGGAAAAGGGACATCCATCAAGTTGAGATTGTATTGGCAACCCACGGTGGTCTGGCTAGATGGCTCAGTGGGTAAAGGTATTTGCCACCAAACTTGAGTTCAGTCCTTGTTTTTAAAAGATTTAAGGGGCTATAGAGCTGGCTCAGTGGTTACGAGGGTTACAAGTACTTGCTGCTTAAGAGGATCTGGGTTTGATTTCCAGCACCCAATATTGGACAGCTCACAACTGCTTATTACTCCTTTTCCAGTAGGAATCTGGTGCCCTCTTCTGGCCATTGTAGGTACTGCATGTGCTCACTCATGCTGGTGCTCACTTTCTCCTCTCTCTCTCTCTCTCTCTCTCTCTCTCTCCATCCTCCCTCCTTCGTCTCTTCCTCTCTGTGTGTACATGCATACATGCACACACACAATTTTTAAATTGCAAGGATTTTCTAAAAATGCAGAAAATAACTGAGTAGCGCACATTCTTAACACCAGCACTTTGTAAAGCAGAGACAAGCAGATCTCTGCGAGTTCAAGGCCAGCTTGGCCTACACAGGGAGTTTCAGGCCAGCCAAGACTACAAAATGGGACTCAAAACAGGAAAGAATACTGAAACTTTTCCTTTTTATATCCACACTCACCCCCCAATACCCTCCCTTGTCCCCTCCCACTGGCCTCTTCTTCTTAGCTAGTCTCACTTCTGTATCCACCCCTTCGTGTGTGTGTGTGTGTGTGTGTGTGTGTGTGTGTGTGTGGCCTGTGAACTTACTCAGGGTTGCTTACGGCGGCATGGCTGAAGATTTAATTACCGGAGCACGGGCGCCTCGGCAGCGGGTAAACACCGAGCCATGTGTCTCCCTCCCCAGAAACTCCTGTATGAGGAAAAAACATATTTAACATCTAATTGTTCTAGATATATCACTAAAGAAGATGTTGCCACGGCCTCCATGAATAAGGTGAAAGCTGATGGCGGCCACATCCGTCTGATCGCCAGGGAATCCAGGACACAGGACCCTTCTAAAGAGTAAGTGGCCCGTGATTCTTACACATAGTAAAGAACACTGCTTCCATATCACACAGCAATTTCTGTGATGACAGCCCCCTGCTGTGGCCACTTCAGACGTCACGAGTCAGTAGCTTTTTAGGCCTTCTAACAACCTCAGAGGCCATGAGCTCATCACCGTAGACATTAGAGATGAGGGATGCCCCAAACCAGGGCCCCATGTGACCTGCCCCAAGCCTGGGCGACCTGACCTCAGGCCTGAGCCCTGAGCCAGCCTGGCGCTGTCCCAGTGGGCTGTCATCAACCCAGTATGCTTGGGATCTGGTCCAGTGAGCGAGTGCCCTGTTGTGTTCCACCTCTAATGTTTACCTGGTCAACTTGGCGTTTACCTGGAGAAACCTGAAATTTAGCAGGTTTTCTGTTCTTATCCCTGTCCCTCTGGCTGTGACAGTACCTTCGCCCTGCAAGGCAGCAAAAAACCAGGAAGAATCCATAGTGCCGAGGCTGAGGAGGTGTCTGTGCCAGCCAGTGAGGGCAGCGCAGACACCAGGGAGCTCGCACTAGTTTGAATGAGCATTTCAGGTGCGTCTCATTGGCCAGCATCGGCTGCCGTCTGCAAGTGCTCAGTGCCCGAAAGGGGGTGCTTGTGTCGAATTCATTTTTGTGGGGTGACTATGGGGTACCGACCACAGCTATTTCACCTCCTGACTGAACATCAGATCTGGGCCCAGCTTCATTGCTCACCCGTACGGTGTCTTGTTCAATCGTAGAAAGCTTGACAGAGCCTGTGTCCCGTCTCTGAAGCCCTGTCCGGCTGACCCCACCGTTGAGCCAACCTCATCCAAAGGCTACATTCAGGCCGTGGATAAGGAAGGGAGGCCACTCTGTCTCCGCTGCCAGCAACCCACCTGCCAGCCTGAGCAAGGGCTCAGCGCCTGGGACTCACGGTTCTGCTCCCAGAAATGCCAGGAGGAATTCTGGATCCGATCCAGTAACAGTTACCTGAGGGCCCAGGTGTTTGCGACAGAACATGGTGTGTGTCAGCTATGCAGGGTGAATGCACACGAACTCTTTCTTCGGGTAAGAGATGCTCCTAAAAGTCAGAGGAAGAATCTTCTAGATGCTGCCTGGACTGCAAAGCTCCCATTGGAGCAGGTATGTCGTCATGGCCTGTCAGGGGCAGTGGTGCGGTCAGTGGCGAATGCCCGTGGACTCTGTCAGTTTCTAGCCTTGTAACAATGTGAACCAAGGGAGAGAAAATAAAGAACCCACCCAGCATCCCCCAGCGTTCGCAGTTACCATGTTGCTGTTGGCTTCCATCTGTCTCTCGCTTTGTTCAGTCAGCTTGCCTCCATTATGCGGCTCATGGGCAATGCCTGCCTGCCCCCCTCCTCTCCACCCCGCCCCCTCCTCTCCACCCCGCCCCCTCCTCTCCACCCCGCCCCCTCCTCTCCACCCCGCCCCCTCCTCTCCACCCCCGCCCCCCCTCTCCACCCCCGCCCCCCCCTCTCCACCCCCGCCCCCCCTCCACCCCCGCCCCCCCTCTCCACCCCCGCCCCCCTCTCCACCCCCGCCCCCCTCCTCTCCACCCCGCCCCCTCCTCTCCACCCCGCCCCTCCTCTCCACCCCCGCCCCCCTCTTACCTCTCTCCTTTGTTCTTCCCCCCTCCCCCTCCTTCTTCCTTTCTCCCCCTTCCTTTCCCCTTCCCTCCTTCTCTTCCACTTCCTGTCTTTTCCTTCTTTCCAGTTCCCTTCCCTTTCTGCCTCTCTTACCGTGCCCCTCCCTCTCCTCCTTCCCTCCCCCTCCCCCCATTCCCATCCCTCCTTCTTGCTTCCCCTCCCTGTTCCCGCCTCTTCCCTCCTCTGAGTTCTTCCTCTCCTAAAATAGAATCACAGTAATCCCTCCGTTATAGGAAGTGCATGTCTACTTTTCAAGACTGTCTTTTTATTTTGGTCAAATCGGGATCCAAGCATGTCTTAGTTTTGCATGTAATGCCATTTATGCTTGGTTTAGTCTCTAGCACCCCCTCCCTTTTTTATACTGTTGATTAGGGAAAGAAACAGGGTCATTTCCGGGTAGAGCTTCCTGCATTCTGTATGTCCCCTGACTTGCTTCCCTGTCCCGACAGCTTCCTGAGTCGTGGCTGTACGGTCTCAGGGTGTGCTTGGGCTCTGACTCTGTTTTAAGAGGTGGGACATGGCTGCAAACAGGCCCTGAGCTGTTTCCAGTGTTAGTGTCTTACGGCTTACAGTGACAAGGCTGTGTGTGCGGTCCACTGTAAAATACCATTTTAATAAAAGTTTATGGCCAGTTATTGTGCCTAGCACACTCATCAGTATTCACTCAGCTTCCAAAGCACAGTCAGATATGTGATCTTCTTAGAAAAAGTATTCTCAGTTTCCAACTAAAGGAAAATGTTTCATTTTGTGGTGTGCTTAATCAAAAAAGAGTCTCCCAGGCAATCGCTGCCCACTAAAATATCAGGTAAATTCCTGTCGGTTAAACAAATTACATATTTTTAGCTAGGTATGGTGGCACACACCGTTAGTCCCAGCACTAGGGAGGCAACGGCAAGAGGATCTCTGCAAGTTTGGGGCCAGCCTGGTCTAAAGAGTGAGTGCCAGGACAGCCAGGGCCACACAGAGAAACCCTGACGAAAATTAATTGATAAAAAAGTATCTGTTTTAATTGAATTCACCTGCTACATTATGATAGAATGGGCTAACATTCATTTCTAAAAGAGGAACTGATGTGTCTCTTGGATCTAGAGACACACTATTTCTCTAACAGAGTTCCTGAGATTTCCCTTGGTCTGACTGATGAGGGAGAAACCGCACCCTTAGGAGCATATCAGTCAAGCTCCCAAATTGCCTGCTGCCCAGGCATGCGGGCTTTCTGAAGATGTGAAAGGACTCAAGGTCATCCTGAAAGTGACCTGTCTTGGTCTGTAGCAGTCACATGTTAGACATCGCACCCAGGATGTCTGGGGGAAGAAACCTTGGCAAGAAGCTGATGCCGACTGAATAGGAGTCTTTCATGGGCAAATTCAGCATTTTGACAGCTGTCCCCCCAGAGATCCACTGCACATTTACCAGAGAAATAAAGACATTTTCTGGATCATTGCGTCTTTCAGAGATGCTCTGAGAGAAAAAATTGGCTGCAAAAGGCAGAACCAAACACAGTCTTTTCTTCTAAGACTGCAATTTAGAATGAAATTTCTAGTTACTTCCAAATCTCAATCTGTTCCTTCTAACAGAAGGCAGAAAGTTCAGTTCAGAATAGAGAAAGACATGTATTGACAAAAATCAGCAGGACACAGTCAACTGCACCAACTTGCTACCCGGGAATGCCTCAGGGGTCGACACTATTGGTCAGGTCACTGGTCCATCCCAGAGCCTTACACATTTTCTCAAAAGTGCCTTCTTTACAAATGTTCAGTTTGGCCTGCACCATCTACGAAATAGGTTGTCTTTTTTTCCAGGGTGTATGTTTGACATCTGTCTTAGGATTTCTATTGCTGTGAAGAGACATCATGACCACAGCAACTCTTATAAAGGAAAACATTTAATTGGGGCTGGCTTACAGTTCAGACCTTTAGTCCACTGACATCATGGCAGGAAACATGGTGCTAGAGAAGAATCCAAGAGTCCTACATCTTGATCCACAGGCAGGAGGAGACTGAACCACCCTATGTGTAGCTTGAACATATGAGACCTCAAAGCCTGGCCCCAATGTGACACACTTTCTCCAACAAGGTTACACTAACTCTAACAAAGCCACACCTAACAGTACCACTCCCTATGGGCTAAGAACTCAAACACACGAGTCTGTGGGGCCATACTACTCAAAGCACTGCAACACCTGTCAAAAAGTATAAATCTAGGGCTGCCTGGGTCTCTTTCTGGGTCCTCTGTTGTGTTCCATTGGGCTCTGTGTCTTTTTTCTGCCAGCAGTATACTGTCTTTGTCGCTCTGAGGTCAGGCATATGATGTCTCTGACTGTGTGTTCTTCCTGCAGCTAAATGAGATGCTGAGGGACCCAGCAGAAGGCCACTTCTGGCAGGTGGACCACGTCAAGCCAGTGTATGAGGGAGGAGGACAGTGCTCCCTGGACAACCTGCAGACTCTCTGCACGGTGTGCCACAAGGAGGTCAGTGACTGACACTCAGGCGTGAGTCCAAGCCCTGGGGCAACTGTGCCCACTGGGGGGCGGGCAAGCTTGCAGCCCCATCTGGGAGCAGAGAGCCCAATGTTTCTTTTGTCACTGACACTTGGCTCTGTGGAATTGCCCAGTCACACAGGTGCAAGACAGCTGCTACCCTGGTAATTCATTCTCCAGGCAGAGGGTACGGCTCAGTGTGGGTAGAGCACTCACTTGACACTCACAAGGCCCTGGGTTCCATCCCTGCCCTGCACAAACTGGGTGTGTTGGTAGCACAAGCAAGAGGACCAAGACTAAAGCCAGCCTGGTCTTCAGAGCCAGTTCCAGACGGCCAGGGCTACACAGAGGGAAACTCTGTCTAGGGAAAAAAAAAAAAAAAAAAAACAGTTCTAAGTCAGCACTTGAGAGGCCAGTGGATCTCTGAGTTCGAGGCCAGCCTGGTCTACATAGTAAGCTCCAGGACAGCCAGAGCTAGACAATCGGAATCCGTCTCAACAACAAAGAGCTCAAGGCCATTCTTAGCTACACAGTGAGTGTGGGGCTGCTACATAAGACCATATCTAAAGGAATAAAGGATTTCACAAAAAGGAATGCCATCTTTCCTATGTTTGTTTGATTTAGGGATTCATATATATATATATATATATATATATATTAACCAAGTCCATTTCAATGAAAACAAACATTTATAGAAAATATTTGGGAATTTGGGTGTCGTTCTTCCCAAAATACTTCCTGATGGTAAGGGGCGCTGTCATGGGGGATTCTAAGAAGATGCAGAAATCCTGGCTGTAGTCCGTAATGATTTTGGGATTCTTGTGGAAAACAAATTTAATTATTTTTATTTGCATTGGTGTTTTGCCTGCATGTATGTCTGTATAAGGATGTCAGGTCTGGGAGTTATAGACAGTTGTGAGCTGCCTGTGGGTGCTGGGAACTGAACCTGGGTCCTCAGAAGAGCAGTCAGTGTGCTCTTAACCACTAAACCATCTCTCTTTATTTGGACTTAGCAGAAGGATCGATTCCATCCATTTGACTTTCTACAGTGTCATTTATGTGTTCACTTGGGAATGAATTTTCTGAGCTGGGCTCAGAAAACAAGAAGACAAACTTTATACCCACCAAACTCTGGGAACTTTAGATGTATTGTAAGCACCTACTCAGCTGAGGAGATTCATGGCTTCTCTTAGTCCTCTAATGCAGGATTCATAGTCTTCTGGGCAGTGAGACACTTCCACGAGGACCCGTTTTCTCCTGAGACCACTAACCTAGGATCTCAGGTCGCTTGCCTGTGCTTGGAGCACTCTGCCTGAAGCGTGGAGTGCCTCCTGTAGGCTAAGCACCGCACATCTGGGTAATGTACAGCAAACTGTCTTCCCCCTACCCTGAACCGGGCATCTCTTGACTTCTAGAGAACTGCACAGCAAGCCAAGGAAAGGGTTCAGGCGAGACGACGCTCCCTGGCACTGAAGCACGGATCAGACATCACTCGGTTCCTGGTAAAGAAGTAGACAGAGCAGATGGCCGGCAGGGAGAGGGATTCCACACTGGAGCAGATGGCCTGCAGGTAGAGGGATTCGACACTTCATGTTTGTCTGGTGTTTAAGAGTGAAAAGTCTTCAAACATAATCAAGAACTGAAATTTAGATTTTGTGGTACGTGCTCTGTGTTAAGCACCCAGCAGAAGTGGGAAGCATTTCAGCGGTCTTGTGTGCTTCGTGCAGATTTCCAATTATGTTTCAGCATTTTGTTCCCCCGCACACCTCTGCCATTTCACTGTGCGTAGATAATATGTGATAAGTACATCCCCAGTCACCTGACGGTTGCTTCTTGGTTAGTGTTGGTTCTGGGTTGTGTGGTATACATGAAACATTCCAGAAAACTCAGGGAAATTTTGGAGGTAAGCCATCATTACTATGGAATTCTGGGATTCTGGGCACACCATGACCTGCCTGCTTACTGTATAAGCTCCACAACAGAGTTGGGTGTGTGTGGGTGGGATGTTGCCTCGTTCTGGGCCAGTCATCTTTCTTGAAAAGATACTTACGTAAGTAACTAATTGTGGCCATGGTGTCTGTGTAGACACCATGTGCTCTGGGCAATCTCGAGAACACACGATAGAACGTTAAGGCATAATGCCACCAAAGCCCTATGGTCTAGCTTTGTTTGCTTGCTCGTTTGCTGTTTGCATTTTGTTTTGTTTTTAATTTGTAAAACCAGGCTAATTGTCAAAAGAGCCTTTGACTCTTGGTCTTCATTTTCTGGTTCTAAAATCCTGGTAGTATTTTGTTTTGTTTTGTTTTTCAAATAAACCTTGTATTTTTCAAAGATTTTTTTCAAAATTATATGTATGTGTGTCCCTGTGGGTATGTGTGTCCCTGTGTGCATGTGTGTCCCTGTGTGGAGGTGTGTGTATCCCTGTATGTGTGTCCCTGTGTGGAGGTGTGTGTGTGTTTGTGTGTGTGTCCCTGTGTGGAGGTGTGTGTGTGTTTGTGTGTGTGTCCCTGTGTGGAGGTGTGTGTGTGTGTGTGTGTCCCTGTGTGGAGGTGTGTATGTGTGTATGTGTGTGTCCCTGTGTGGAGGTGTGTGTGTGTGTGTGTGTCCCTGTGTGGAGGTGTGTGTATCCCTGTATGTGTGTCCCTGTGTGGAGGTGTGTGTGTGTGTGTGTATCCCTGTATGTGTGTCCCTGTGTGGAGGTGTGTGTGTGTGTGTGTGTGTCCCTGTGTGGGTGTCCCTGTGTGGAGGTGTGTGTGTGTGTGTGTGTCCCTGTGTGGAGGTGTGTATGTGTGTATGTGTGTGTCCCTGTGTGGAGGTGTGTGTGTGTGTGTGTGTCCCTGTGTGGAGGTGTGTGTATCCCTGTATGTGTGTCCCTGTGTGGAGGTGTGTGTGTGTGTGTGTATCCCTGTATGTGTGTCCCTGTGTGGAGGTGTGTGTGTGTGTGTGTGTGTCCCTGTGTGGGTGTCCCTGTGTGGAGGTGTGTGTGTGTGTGTGTCCCTGTGTGGGATGTGTATACACAGGAATACAGTTGGCTGCACAGGCCAGAGGCCTCTTATCTCCCAGACCTGGAGTTACAGGGAGCTATGAGCCATTCAGCAAGGGTACTGGAAACTGAACTCCAGTCTTCTGGGAGAGCAGCAAGCACGCCTAGCCACTGAACCATCTCTCCACTTCTGATTCTATCTTATTATTTCTGGCGCCTCTTTTAAAAAGAAGACGACCAGCCAGTCATGGTGGCACACACCTCTAGATCCCAGCACTCTGGAGGCAGAAGCAGGCGGATCTTTGTGAGTTTGGGGCCAGCCAGCTCTTTATAGTGAGTTCCAGACCAGGCAGGGCCATGTAGTAAGACCCCGTGTCCAAAATAAAGTGACGTGGGCTAAGTTGATAAGGTGCTGGCCACACAAGCATGATAGCTTGAGTCTCAGCCCCCAAGGGTGTCACCTTCCTACTGCCATGGCCGAGTGACACTGATCGGTCTCTGATGACAACCCTCCTGAGACAGGGAGGGAGTCACACACTCATGCCAGTGCCCTGGGGGCAGAGGCAGGAGCAGGCGTATCTGTGTGGGTTCAAGGCCAGCCTGGTCTACATAGTAAGACCATGAGCACCCCACCCCCTGTGCCCCCCAACCCGACCAAAAAGAGAGTTAGTGACAGCCAGGGGCGTTCTCAGATATATTCCCCACCCCCACCGCCATCTGCTCATGAGTGAGGGTGAGACCTCTCATGGGGAGTCAACAGTGTGTTCCATCACCACACTGAGGCAGGATCAAGGCCTTCCCCCTGTGTCTAGGCTGAGCAAGGTATCTCTCCAGAGATCTTTTTTTGACAAATCTTTCTGCCCACACACCTTAATAAACCCGACTTCTTCTTCCGGTCTTTGAGTGGGACATCTAAAATCTGGATGCTGCAGAAATAAAGGTGTGAAGCATCTAACCCGCGAGTGAAGGAAGCCAGTGCTGCGTAAATGGCAAGGATGTTCCCCCCCCCCATGGAAATCAACCATCAAAAATAGACTGCAAATGGCAGCTTTCTGTGGCAGTATTTACCAGCCTCTGCTCTTTTGAACTGGGAAATTGCAAGCGTCTCATCCGTGTGCCATTCTGTTTGATTATCCGTGTGATTATCTAACCACCAGGAAAATGCCCCATGGCACCTCTGGGTGTTCAGCTGCTCTCTGCTGGGGAGGGTGTCTGGCACCTAGCTTTGGCACGCTCTTAGTATCTAGAAATACCAACTGTCTCCTGTTTGTATCCTGGGTTCTACCCACCTGCTTTTCTGCCTTAGGAGTTTCTGTCCTCACACTCAAGTCACTGGCTAATGTCTTCCCAGTAGTCAGTAAGGAGGCTTCCTGGAAGCGGGCCATTGGGACACAAAAATAGCATTGTGGGACTGAGGAAATGGATAAAAGAGCTTGCTACGTGGGTATGAGGACCTGAGTTCGGATCCCCAGAACCTGTGTAAAGCTTAATGAGGTAGTGTGTATCTATAATCCCAGCTCTCCTTCGGCAATAGGGAGGTGAAGACGAGAGAAAGTTGCAGGCCAGCCAGCTTGGGGTTGGCCAGAAGCAAACAGTAGAGACCCTGTCCTAAGCGCAGCGAAAGGTGAAGGGGACCCTTGGTTGTCCTCTGACCTGTATCTGCATCTATGGCCCCTGTGTACTTAGGGACACGCAAACACACCGTGGGTGAGGAAGGAGAGAGAATGAATCACTGTGGGCCAGGCATGGGAGAGCATGCTTTTCATCTCAGCCCAGAGTGAGTTCCAGAACAACCAGGGTTACATAGTGAGACCCTGTCTCAAAAAAGTAGATGGGTGGCTAAGTCGGTGGGTGAATAGATTTAATTGTGCATGTATGAGCTGCATATTTTACAGCCCTTCTGCAGTTATATATAACATGTCAGTGTTAGCTTGCAGAACTTCCCAACACCTGTATGTGTATAGTAATCGGGTTAGTCAGCTTCCTGTCACTGTAACAAAAAACCTGAAGTGATCAGCCTGGAAACAAAAGATGTTCTTGGCTAAGAGGCGGGCATGGGTAAGTCACTCCTAGATACCACGTGGGTCTCTTATACTTCAAAATGCCCTAACAGCTTTTCATGTCACCTTCCCGTATGTGTCCTAGTGGCTTATGACTTTGCATGCACCAGGAAATGTTTTTCAAAGGCTCGGGGGAAACAGTTTTGTGCGGGTATCTTGAAAGCTTCCATCGGTGGTCTCCGTGAGATGGTTACGACTTCCTCACTGCTCAAGATTGAACAGCACATGAGAAGCGGGACTCGGCGGTCCAGATCAAATTCGAACCGTTTGAGGCCAGTCTGAGACACTGTCCGGATAAAGGAGAAGTGTGAGAGCAGGCGACATGTGTGAGCGCCAGAGAGCATAAGCCACACAAATGCTCAGTGGGCCCTAGAGCGAGCTGGCTCACAAACTCTCAAAACTAGATGTATCGTCCAGCTCTGAGATTGAGAGGCCCCGCCTCCAATAAGGCAGAAGGGCAATCAAGGATGATTCCAAACATCAGCGGATAAACCCCCACCCCCACGAACCCTCGCGAACTCTCGAGCACACACACATGCTCTTCAGTCACATCCTCTTTCCTCTCCAAAGACCACTGTCCTGGCAGAGAATTTCTTCCCTTGATTATTTGCAACTGCTGGTGTAGGAAGCCATGGGTTTTAACTGAATGTCCACCCTGGCCACAGGCGACCAATGCATTGCAGTTTATCCTCAGAGGCCGAGTCATGGCTGATTGGAGAAGACCCTGCAGCTGACTAAGTTGTGAAACCCCAGCTGAGCCATCCCCAGCTGCTGGCTGGTGGGCCAGGCTGTGGTCTATTAAACTGATTGCCAACGTGGAGAGTACACTGGGTAGGAGGCTCCGGATCTGCTCAAATTGCTCTCGTGTTCCCGGATGGGTCATTTCTGGTTTCCTGCAACTCTACCCACGTTAGCTGCTCTAGGATTTTACCTCTTCACAGTTTCAACACCATCACCAGGTTCTGGAACAGAACTGAAGCAAACCAGGAGCATCCAGTAGTCACAGGCGTGGACCCTGCCCCACCCGAGGACCAGTTTCCTGCCTGTCTAGGGAGCATCAGTAAGTGTTCTTTGGATTTTTGTTTGTTTGTTTGTTTGTTTCATTCCTTGGTATTTTTGGTTTTCCAAGACAGGGTTTCTCTGTGTAACAGCCCTAGCTGTAGACCAGGCTGGTCTCAAACTTAGAGATCCGCCTGTCTCTGCCTCCCAAGTGCTGGGATTAAAGGTGTGCGCCACCAGTGCCCAGCGTGGATTTGGGTTTTCATACTGAATTTGAGCTGCCGTGTTGGTGTGGACAAAACTGTGGATGTCTGGTCACACAGAATTTGGATAGGGAACAGCAGGAGCAGACCTGGTCTACAGGGAGAGGCCTTGTCGTCTGGTGGGGTTCAGAAGGGAAGACTACCAGACAGAATTCCAGTGTAAGCTGTAGCCAGCAAGCTGTGAGCTACTGTTTGCCTTCATTCAGCTTGCTTTCAGGCGCCAAAGAACACGGGAGGGCAGGAAGGGGCCACGCCATGCTGGGAGTGGA